ACACACACACACACACACACACACACACACACACATAAACAAAAACACACAACAAACAAACAAAAACAAACAAATAAAGACGCAAGCAAACAAACAAAAAATAAAACAAACCCGCAAACTCACACAGCTCCCCTCCCTTAAATAAATGCCTAACGCTGACTGCCCAAATCTGTCATGTGACAATAAACAGTCATTGTTTGCCATCTTATTTTACTTGTATCTAGATCTCTCATCTTAAACGATCATAATCATGTTTTCTCCTACACTATTCCCACCCAGCCCGACACGAGGCACACCGGGATATAGCGATCTACCTGTAGGAACACGTTGGCTGTACCAATGAGAACATCCTCTGTTGGCTCCCAGAAAGGATCCTGCTCTTTGGCAATGGAGAGAACATCTTCACCATCCAGGTAACGTTGATACATTTCCTGTGGTGGGAGAAACATACTTTTAAAAAATGTAGATGTTTTTACGCTCCCATCAACACAATTTAAGCCATTAAGGATGCGGATTCCCGACCTTGCCTGCAAAAGCCAATACAGGCTGAGAAGGATACGTCCCAGCAGAAAGACTGAAAAATTCGATAAGAAATATTTCTCCCCAATCAGGAATCGAACACGGGTCTCATGCGAGCGACAACAGAGCGCCTAACCGCTACATCACAGACGCCGGTGAAGCAAAGACTTAATTTGTGCAATGTCGTGAGAAAACTTATCTTTTTTTTTTCTTTGGTGAGTGTTTTACGACGCTCACAACTGCTTTAGGTCATATGAGCACGCGGACACATTGGACATTTTCAGTTGCTTGAAATTAATATTGAATTTTGCCCGTGAGGCGGCCGATTTTGGATCACCAAGAGATTTTTAATGTGTGCAACTTGCACTCGAGACTTCCAAGATTGTTTTGCCCCGATCCGAGAAGGCAAGATGTTAGATTTGCTGAAAGAGAGCAGTTAAAAAACCCCCAACAAACCAACAAGGAGGTGAGGGGGTGGGGGCAGAAAGTGGGGACGGAAGCAGACGATACAACATTGATAGAGAGCAGGAAAAGGGTGTGAAAGGAGAACATTTTAAGGAAGAAAATTTTCCGTCGCAATCCGGATTCGACTCCAGGACCTATTGAATGAGAGGCGTAGACCACGAGAGTCCCACTTAAATTATCGTCTGAAGAAAAAGTAATAATAAAAGCCCCCCCCCCCCCCCCCCAAACACTTTGTTCCTTTAAACATTACCAATTAGAGGCCGCAGGAAGGAAATAACAGCACTTCAACAGATTACCTTTGTCTTCTCACTTCTACCGTTGTCACCCACAAGGTGTCAAAAACTATAATAAATCTAGAAAGAAGAAGAAGAAGACAAAGAATATTATCTATCATAAAAGTTACACACCAACAAAACTAACAGTAACAAAAACCGGTATTAGCATCCTCAAAATAATAACACAGGCCATTGTTTGGAACAATCAATGACATGAACAAAGTAACAGCGACAGCATTGAACATCAGTGTAGCAACTGCAATAACATTAATAACAAAAATAGCATAAAGTCTCCACAATGACCACCTTATGGACTCAAACGGCAGGGACGTGGTACGTGCATACAGTCCAACTTGTCCATGAGAACAATTCATTGTTGGGAAGAGAAATGGAACGGTCAGCTTAGACAGATGGTTGTCTCGGACAATGTCATTATATTTTATTGAAAAATCGTAAATGTTTCGGGGGTGGGATGGGTTTGTGGGGGGTGGGGGGTGTTCGATTAGGTGATAGTCTTGTTCAGATGGTCGTTAGAGCAGGTTCGACTGTATTTCCTTGGAGAGATTATAAACTAGGAACAACTGACCAGCCCTGGAAGCCTGCATGAGGTTAGTGGAATACTGTAAAAATCTTACTTAGACTTAAACTTGCCAACTTTCAAAAATAGACTGAACATCATCTACGCCCCCCCCCCCCTTCCGAGAAAGAAAGTAACTACAAAACTTACAACACACCCCACCCCCCTCCCTATATATAACCACACATATATTCACACGGGAAAAAAATTAACTGCAAAACCTGTTTATCTCGTAACAGGCCTGAGCGTACAGTCGAAATTGTCTGAGACGGCCACCCACTATCGGGGAGAGAAGTGGCCGCATTAGACAGGTGGACGTCTTACACAGTGTTAATATAATGTAAGAAATACGCAAGGGAGGAAAACGGAAGCGTCTGTTTGTACAGGTGATTGTCTTACACGGGATGGCCATCAGAGCACATTTGACTGTAGTTTACGTACAAACAAAACAAAACAAAACAAAACTAAAACACCCCCCCCCCCTAAAAAAAAGCAAAAACAAAAACAAAACAAACCCAAATCAGTAAACTGACCTGTATGAGGTACCTCCTGTTCATGAATTTGCCTCTCTCCCATAGCCAAGTGTTGCCATTGAGCAGGTTCTTCATCTTCACCATCACCCTACAGTGAACAACAGAGCAGTCAGTTGGTTTTCCTAACAAGGTCTTCTCAAAGTTCAGTTTTGATCTGGACTTTGTAATGTATCGAACATTTAATAGCAGGAGAAAGTTTTTAATATATAAAAGAGAATATATCAAAATTTCAGTTACAAGTACCGTGTAGACATATTATTAATATACTTTATTTCAGTGAATAGGGGAGAGAACAAACAGGAGAGTTCTGACGTTGCACGTTCTTTGCTTTCCTTGAGCGCTTCTCCGCCTTTGTCGATTCCTGAATACAACCTATTACTATTATTGTAATGTACTTTTATATAATTTTACGATGCCGGAAACAAGCTGAGTACAATTAAGGGTAGGTAGCAGTTAATATTTCGAACTTTGTTATTAACGCATCCCAGCATCATTCAAAGTGATCATAAAACACTCTAGGAAGAAAAATAAAGTAAAAAAAACATCAAACAAACAACAGAAATCATCTTCCCCTGGCTCTTCGTGTTCTGTCCTTTATAAAAAAAAGAATGCGCTCTCGGGTAATTTGTTTTTATTGTCATACAAAGTACATTTATACATGTAGTTCAGTTGTGTACTTGCATTTAGGTATGTCTCTTCCATAACGTGAAGATGCAAGTAAACGTGTTCACCCCCACCCACACCTCCTTCTTTAGTCGTGTGTTCATAGGAACTCGTATGCATGAAATCTTAAAACTTAAAATGGCTTGAAAATGAGACTTAATTTTTTTTTAAATAAAAAGGGAAACCCTTTAATATGAAGAGTAATAAATGGCGTACGAACTGAGATTTTAAGTTAATATGACTTATCTTGTTTTTCAAATATCATTAGCAACAACAGCCACATAGATATTTATGGGGAAGAAGCACATTTGGTATATTCGTACACGTTTAATTAAAGAACATTTATATTGGATTATGGTAACATGCATACAAATCACGGCTGCCATTAACAACTCAAACTACTGCTATGATTTCGTTATAAGCTGGTTGTCTTTTACAGACAGAGTGTGATGCTCTGTTGTGAAGAGTATTGAATAACATCAATATTATGAACAAAATTTCAAAACCATTTTGATGAACACCAGTTACTCATACATGTAAATAAATATATTATACTTCGTGTATGAATTAAACAGCTTATCAGAAAGTTAACGGGGTGTGGGACACCCAGTAGGTTATTATGGTGACGTCACTATATGTACATGGAAACAATCTTAAAGTACCGATATAGGACCATGTTTTGTAAAAGTTCTAATGAATTAGACAAAAATAAAGTAGAAATAATAAAAAAAAAAATTAAAAGAAAATGTCGAAATCAGGGTGCATAATATTATTTGAATCTCTTAGCAAAATTTTAAAAAATCCCAAAGGATCAATATTTGCTTTATACACAAGTGTATAGCGAATAATTATTAAATGTATCAATTTAAATCAAGGAAAATCTACAATAAAAAACGCCATTAGTAAGTTAATATTACAAATGCCAAAGCATTGGTCGTCAAAGCGATAGCACAATATCTGTGGAAGCTTTAATTATGGTGGTTATGCCGAACGATTCTGTGGAATCAGTAGAATAATAATAATAAAAAAAACCCAAATGAAAATCGTAAAAAATATATATACTGAGGAAAAAAACTGATAACTAGATTTATGTTTACTTTCTAAAAATTCGTTTTAGATAAGGAAAGGGCTGAGGTGGGTGGAAGAACTCAAGAAAAAAGGAAAACTTTTCACCGCAGCTCTAGGGCAGTTTTAGAATCCTTCGACAGTTTTGGGGTTTCTAATAGAAAAAATCGGTCAAAACAGACATCTAGTCAAAATTTTGACCTGAGAACAACAAAACCTGGAAAATCAGTTCAAAAGACAGGTCTAAACATGCGGGGTGTCTAAATACATTACCAGTAACTAAAAGGAAAGTAATCCTAATATGAATGGAATTTGATTTTTTAATAAGCCAACAACCATGAAAAAATCCCAAAAGACGACTAAAACTAGACCAGCATAGAGAAAAAGAGAACCCTATAAAAAAACAAAAACAAACCCAGTTTAAAAACCCCAACAACCCCGAAACAAAATCAAAGTTTAAAACAAGAGAAAAAGAATAAGGGAAAAGGGAAAAAGAGACATATTTAGGAAAAAAACAACAACATTTGAGTCCCTAAACGTCTTTTGATAAAAAGAGAATGAAGGTTTTCAGGACGAGTAAAGCTTCTAACTGGAAATACATGCTGAGCTCTCATGCACAAAACTCTGTAAAAATACTGTACTTGAATTTACACCTTACATAAACAAGATCTGCGTTTGCACTAACGCACTATTTATAGGAAATATATAGTCTGAACATAATTACAACAATAACTATATAGGAATAATATGTTCAAGAAGAATATTACTGTCTTGTAGAAAGGAAGGCGAAGACACTTATGTAAAGCCTTTTACAGGACAACGAACATTGCTCTTAAATCATCAAAAGGGGTATAGCATGCACTTGCTCCAAAAATAAAAACAAACAAATAAATTAAATAAATACAAAGAATGAATGAATCCTTAGGTAACTTCTGTTTACCGATAGGGTAACCTACGAAGAATAAAACATTGGGTAATGACAAATAGGTATAGCCACTCCCAAGGAAACACTTGGAAACCTCTTTCTTCGGAGACCTCCTTCTTTCAAAATTGGGGAAAAGCTGAACATCACACGTAAAAAATAGAAAACAATAAGAAAACATAGGGTAGACGGTTTGGTGAGCAAGACCGTTATATATACTGGCCTCCACCAAAAGACACAAAATGGTTTTTGAGAACAGAAAAAAAACGGCAAGCAGGCAGCTGATGGTTTGGACAAAGTACCTGGCCTGCAGCGACTGTAACTCCTCTCTGCAAAACCAGTGAATCTAAATGAATAACCATGTGTGTCTGTTCCATATCAAACTGAATACAGTCTTCAACTATCTTTTTTTTCTCCTTAAGTTCTGCTTCAATTTAAATGTAACATAGTATTTTACCTCAAAATTATCAATTTTTCTAATCAGTGCTGACGACAAATCTTGTGAAGAGAGCGCTAATGGTACAGTACCACTGGTACAGGCGATCTGTGCAAGCGTCAATTTCTAAGAAAAATAATGTTGTACAAATATAATATACTTCGAGTAGAATACTTGAACACACAAGGCGATACGGTTGTAAGCAAACTCCAGCCGATAATTTCTTGTAGTTTTGGTTCAGCCGTGTTACCAAAGACAAGCACAAATAGTAATATGTGTACCTCTATTATAAATCATGGTTACTCTTAGATTTACCGTGCGTTCATTCAAGTGCCTGTTTTTGTACTCTTGGGAAAATGATCTAATAAGCGGACTTTTAATGGATGTTACCCCATCAGTTTCTCATTATAAACATACCTACTCAACTATTTCGGGTTTGGAAATTATCTGCACTCAAGTTTCGAGGAGGATGGGGACTTCTGTAACAGATTTTTTTTTCTTTAAAAATCTGACACATTAGCCTATAGAGCTACCAAGAATGCGTTTGATATGACTGCACATGACAAGACCGAATTGATTGGTTATTCCCTCTATGCCGTGATCTATGCACTGTAAAAACGTTTTTTAAACAATCGAAGCCAGTGTCAAAATGGTAACATAGACTTTGAAATGTTCGGGCTGGTTAAAATCTTTGTTTACTTCGACAATTTTTTTTAACGGTACATCAAATCAGACTTGTATTAGATTAGAATAAGCAAGTGTTAGTTGAATACACAGCATTCACCATCATCATCAGTTTTCTCACAAAGTAATGACACCAAAAAGAGACAAAGCTCATAATTCTGGAATAAATATCACAACTGCCATAGGATAAGGGGGGAAAGCCCCGAAAGCACGACACCACCCGGTCTAAAGAAGTGGGGGCTTTTCGGGGAACCAACTTAATACATACTTTGCATTATACAAGGAGTCCTCCCTGAAAGTGCACAGTGTATAATTTAAATTCATCAACAGAAGGAACATTCATGTGAACGAAGCGGCACTTATTTGCGATCACTTCAATCTTTCCGGAAAGAAAACCTAGCCGGCAGAAGAGTATCTTTTTATCATGTCTTATGTCCATTTCAGTACTATGACAGAAAACACCACTCCCTCTATCCCCATCATTCTTTATCTCTCTCTCTCTCTCTCTCTCTCTCTCTCTCTCTCTCTCTCTCCCCCCTCTCTCTCTCTCTCTCGCTGTCTGTCTTTCTGTTCTATGCCTCTCTCCCCCTCTCTCTTTCTCTCTCTATCTCTCTCTCTATCTCTCATCCACACAGATACACAGACATAATGCATTCCACTCATTGTGCTTTCCTTCTATCTCCCAACTGCAGACTTCTGATTCTTTACAATAATATTACTATCTTGCACCCTTTAGTCACAAATATTATAATGGGCATGCAAATATCATTCACGCCAGATGAACGCCAGGCATATTCACAGGAAAAAATCGAACTACCTCAATAGCGATAAATTACAATAATCAACTTTACACAATTAAAGAGACAGACACTAAAGAGTTGGGCAGAAATACACATAATTCGCGACAGGCATGCCTAAAGTAAACTTGTACAATCAATACAACAGACGATCAACCAGGATCTACTGCATGCATTGTTGCGAGCGTCACTGGCGAGCATTAATTATAGAGAATCTGGTCAGGCAAATAGGGCGAGCCCCTCATTCCACAGAGTACAGAACAATGTTAGAAACACAGACGTCGGGAAGGGGACAGAGGGTGCAAAGGCAACATATCTAATACTACTAATAGCCAAAACGGCTGATCAGAATGTGATTTCTGTGATAAATACAATTACTTATTTACTTTAGGTAAGCGCTCTGTTGCCTTTTCTACGACGAGGAGCATGCAGGCTCCTGTAAAAAAAAAAAAAGCAATTAACACCACAGTAGTGTTCAGGTGAAAAGGGGATATCAGTTTGGAGCTCTGGTATTGCATCTGATGTGTGCTTGAGGGATGGGTAGTCTCCTTGATGTTTGAAGATATCTTAAGCCAACCGCTGCAATATTCCAGAAATAACGTATATGCGTTTTGATAGGATAGCATTCAAATTTAGCTAAACGAGCCTTTTGCACATTCTGAATTTCCCCTAATTCTGAGGACGGAATTCACAAATCTGTCATGCTGCAGACCACAGAATAGGAGTAAGAATTAGAGCAACATTTTCAAGGTGATGAAGACACACGTGCAAATCACACACAGGAGTGGTGAACATTCCATGCCCAGCAAACGTAGTGCGTGCTGCAAACTATGTAGTTCACCTTTCGGCGTCTTCATACGTACTTTGCTTCATGAATACTATTTTCTCTGAAAGCCACAGGACACGAGACATTGTCATGTTATGGTAATATTTTTCGGTGAAATCACCCCAAATTGACAAACCTTGCAATGATTCTTCTTGAAAAAGCTATGACAGAAGATGTGCAAATATGCATAATATTCCTTTTTTCACAAGACATGAAATCTGCCTCCCCCCATCCCCCCAATAATTATGTTTATTTAAGGGTCAGGGGAAACAAATGATCCAGCTATACATACACAGGTCAGGAGGTTTGGCACCTTTACTCGTGACTCAACACGCAAGAGCATAATAATATTACGTTCAGCAGCTGATGTCATTTCATGCCATATGGACTTTGGGGTTGTATTCCTTTTCTGCATTGTCCTTCTCTTTTTTTCCCTTTGTCTTTGTTTAGATATTTTGATACCATATCAAATGTATCTATTACCAAATTACCTATTTTAGTCTACTACAGATATTAAATATAGTTTGGCTTGGAGTGGACGCTCCTGTGAACGCTGTCAGGTCATTTGAGAGCTCTGATACCCACATTTTATAACACTACTCACATCCGCACTCACACGCACACACACACACACATACACACACACACACACACACACACACATACACACACATACACGCACACGTGTGCGCTTACACACACTCGCGCGCGCACATGCGCACGCACACACACACACACAATGCCACCACCATTACCATCACAACAATAGCGACACCAATAAAAACAGCATCACCATCATCATCATCATCATCATCATCATCATCATCATCATCATCATCATCATCATCATCATCATCATCATCATCATCAAAAACAACAACAACAACAACAACAGCAACAAAAACAACAACGACAACAACAACAACAACAACAACAAAAACAACAACGACAACAACAAAAAAGGACGCCCCCTAGAGTTGAAAAAACTCCACTCACAGAAAGGCGTAACCAAGTATGAATGCATGTGGTACATAGTATTATCACATGAAGACCTGCTATATTATTTATTATATAAGAAGAGGGTAGATAACATGAACGGAATGGGAGGGACAACGAATTTAGGAGCAAAGGCTGCGCTATTGGCAGTCGAGTAGTAGAAAGTGAACAAGGTAAACGGCCTGAAAGTATAAGACTCGAAACAAAGAGGGGACTGAATGCATATTGAGAAAGACCGCACATAGACAGGAGCTGATATTATTTTTTAAAAAAGAAACTGAATCAAACAAAAGGAACCATTATAATCAACGCATTAAACAATACGAACAAAATAATAAAAATACGACACTCGACTCCTGCAATCTCTTCACCATAACACCACCATAACAGAAGACTTCAAACCTACATCTTCTTCTGTGAGTGATGCAGATCGTTTAAAATTAAAACAAAGCTGTGGCTCCCTCCTTTTTTTAGGTAAGATTCACTTCACCATTAGGTGGAAAACATTTCCTCAATATACTTGATCGTCGTGTGTTCATTGCGTTCAATCAACAAATAAACAATCCCACAGTAGCCTATTTTAGTTAACTAACCAAAAGCCAAACTACCAGTGTGTCTATAAATAATATGCATTAAATAGGTAATAAATTTCAGGAAAGTGAAAGACAAAATAAATCTCAAAACAACTGAAGCATAAAAACATAATTTCAGCATCCACCTTATTCTTTTTTAAAAACTGTCGGAAGGAACATTCAGGAACATCTTGTATTTGGTCGCCCATGTTTAGATAATAATAATAATAATAATTAAAAAATGGCATTTATGCTGCGCCTTTCCATTCATTTCTAAAAATGCACACGCTACCTAAAATAATATGCTAAACGGAGATAAAATCTAGAACGAATCAAACAAAGAGGATGACTCACTGTGATCCTGTCTCGCTCTTCCCCTCTGCCTGCTCCTGGGCCGCGGCGGAGATGAGGACCACCTCAAAGGACTTGTGTTTGTTTAACTCTTCCGAGACTGCGTTCACCTCTGAGACCATAGGCAAGATCTCTAGGATCTGTTCCTGGACGATTTGTTGTTCTGATGATAGATAATATCACACGGGATTATAACGGTGCAGGTGGCTTCTTTTGGTGACATACACTCGAATTCACTGTATTCTCTCATTTCATATCGTTTTTTGTGACCCTGTTTGTCGCCCCCCCCCC